CCTGGGATCATGACCTGAGGTGAAATCAAGAGTTGGATGCTCAATTGACTGAGCCACCCAGGCGCCCTGAAAAAACAATTGTTTCATTTATCTTCTCTATTGTTTTTTGGTTCTCTATTCTGTTGATCTCTGCTCTAACATATGGTCTTTTCTTCAATCTCTCTTCTTTCAGTTCCTCAGACTCAATAATTTCCACTGTCCTGTCTTCAAGTGCGGTATCCTTTCTTCTGCCTAGTCAAATCTGCCTTTGAATCCCTCTGGTGAATTTCTCATTTTAGTTCTTGAACTTTTCAGCTCCAGAATTTTGTGCGTGTGTGGTTTCTTACGTTATCTAGCTATCTATTGACATATGTTTCATTCATACATCATTTTCTCGAATTTCTCCCACAGCTTCCTTTAGTTTTTTGAGTGTCTTTAAGGCACCTGTTTTAAGGTCTAATTTATCTGCCATCAGGTCTTTTACAGAGACTTGTTTTTAAGTTTCTGTTGATTCACTTTTTTCTTTTGAAGGGACATGTTTCCCTGTTTCTTTGCATGCCTGGTGATTTGTTTAAAACTGGACATTGGAATCTAATAATGTCGTAACTCTGGAAATCAGTTACTACCCTCCTGGGTTTGCTGGGGTTTTATTGTTATTGTTTTTGTATTTTGATTATTGTAGGCTGTTTCTATGCTGAGGATAATCCAGAAGTATAAATTTAAGGTCTCCTCAGGTCTTTTCTGAGCCTTTCCCTGGGCATGCATGGCCACTTTCTAATTTTCCTCATACATGCAGTTGCTTTTGAATATCCTAGTTTTTAATGTCTGGCTCCCCAAATGGGTAATATTTGAATGGGAGAGGGGAGGGCACTAGCCCTTTAAATCCACTGGAAGTCACTTTAGCCCAAGGAGGAGGGGCTTGCAACAATGGGGGAGGCACAACAATGGCTGCCCACCTCTGCAACCAGAAGCAGCCATCAGAGATCCAAGCTCAAATCCCAGGTATTTGGAGGGCAGGGTCCTTTTTGCCCTCTTGGGCTCCCATGAGCTGTGTGCAAGTTGTTCTAGGAACACATTCATAGCTGCCTGTTCCGTGGCTGGGGATGGGGGATAGGCAGCTAAGTTGGCCAACACTAACCACAATTTACCATCCAAATCTTCCTCTGGAAGTTGGAGCCTTGGTAGACTCCACAGTTCTACAAAAGTTGCATCAAATTCTGCCAGTGCAATTGTTGTCCAGGTCTGGAGATAGATTCCTGGTGCCTCCTCTCTGCCATCTTCCCAGCATCCTCTCTAAAGACTTCATTCCATCTCACAAGGTTCAGTACATAGTGTTCTCAATATTATTCTAAGCATTTTCTCATCCCCTGTATGGTGCCTTCTTTGATCAGTGAGTTATTTTAAAGTATGTTTTAATTAGCAATAATCATGCCTCGGATAAACCTCATTGGCTATGATACTGCCACTGTGCAAAGTTATTTTAAAGTATGTTTTAAAACTTCCAAACCTATAGGCTTTTTTCCTCCAGGTTTTTATGTTTTTATGGTCCTTTAATTATGTTGCAGACATCTGTAGGATAGTGTCCCTTTGGTATTTATAAATATTCCATGTGCTTGAGAAAACAAACATTCCTTAAACGTTGTGTTAAGATGTCTAAATATATCTACCAAATAAAAAAGAAATGGAAAATCTGATTAGATCTATAATTAAAGGGGGGGGGGAGCTGAATTGGTAGCCAACTCAAAAGAAGCAGTATTAGAGAAGCAAAAAAACCAAGGAATTATGTTCTCTGTTCTGCATTAAGGAGACTTGGTGAGTCTTTTTTTTTTTTTTTTCTTTTTACAGAAATATAAAGCTTTTTATAAGCAGTCCATATAGAAACTGGGAGAAGAAGACTACAACATGCTTTTTGGTAGAAATGATTTGACATAAAAATTTATTCATTTGATCGTATTTTCAAAAGCAAGGCAGAATCACATTCATTTCCTTCATAATATCTCTGGAAACAAACTGGACTTCTGAGTCCCTAGTTTGCTTTGGAAACTTTCAAAGAGCTGACCACCAGCAGCCTAGCAAGCCTCTTCTTTCCCTTCCAGGCTCTCCACCTCTTGGAAGGGTGGGGATGACAAATGACACTAGGTAAACAGCATGTGGTTGAGCTTGCTAAACCTTTTTCACCTCCTTCCACAGGCAATAGGGTGACTGGCTTATTCTTTACCTGAAGTCACTGAGTAAGGAAACAGGTTTCGAACACAGAGAATGGAGGGAAGTTTCCCGGGTAGAGAATTTCCCGAGTTAGGAAGAGAAGGATGAACTCAGAGCTTAACCGATTAGTTCCTTCTGCTCAGAGAGAGAATGCTAGCCATGGATCTCAGATCCCTGATCCACAGAGGCATCAGTACAGACACTCAGTTCCTTTGATTAAAATGTGTTGGAAAATCCAGCTCCGAGTAGAGAAGTAGTTTATTACAACGATGGTGCTATAAGAGGAAAATCAAAACAGCAAAGAGAAGACAGTTCTGCCTGAGCTCCAGTGGTCACTCCACTCCTACCAGCTTTATAGTCCAACCAAAGTCAACTGGGAGAGTAAGGAGTGGTAACTGGGGCAGATAAATGAGCAGACCTCCTTCTGGATCTGTAGACCATTTCAGATCTTTTTGGATCCCCAGCATCGTTATCTGCAGAACGTAAAAGGGAATGATCACACATCAGTGCACTGAGTACAGGATACGGCTTGAACATGATGGGACACAGCCACACCGGGCCAGGGCAGGGCAGACAGTCTAAAAGGGGAATCAAAATGGGGGAAAACTGGGGCCAAAGGGAAGAAACAGAGTTGACCTCCCATTCCTTTAAAGAAAGTTACCTCTCAGAAAGGACAGTCTGAGAGGCTCCTTACCTGTGTAGTCGAGGTAGTTTTGGGGGATACAAGGCTTAAGACTCCATTTTCTGGCCAGTGCAGGAAAATGGCATAAACAGTTGTTTCTCTTGAGGTATACCTGGGAAAAAAGAAACACCGTTGTCAGAAATACCTGGCTTGTGACCCTGACACATAGCCTTATACATCTCCCTTTCAGTTATCTACCAACTCCAAGACCTTGAGTCTGTCACTGCTGCTAGGAAGTGATGCTTACTTGGATACCAGGTCTGCAGGAAGGAAAGAAAACAGCCTTGGAAGGCTCTTTTTGGTGATCTCTTCCATTTGCCTGCTCTACTGGGCTAGACATTTTCTTGAAAAAATTTTAACGCTTATACTAGTTATTTCACATTGAAGTCACTTCCCTTATTATTCAAATCTTTTTTCAACCCCAAATCCGTGGGAGAACAGCAGAGGATCTAACAAGGGCAAGATGTACAATAAAGACGCATTTGTTCTGAGAGTTCACCAGGCTTAGAGAAGAGGATGAAAATCACTAAATAGAAATTCACTCGAAACGGAAGGATGAACGTGTTTCCCCTGATCCAAAGACCTATGTGCTATGGTGTAACACCTGCAGATACCTTTCACTGAGCACTTTGTATACGCTGGGCATGCTCTCGGGCGCTTTACATAAGTTATCGCACTTAACCATCACAACAACTCCAGGAAGTTAAGTATCTGTGCCCTGCTTCGCACTTGAAAAACACAGGCCCAGGGTCAAATAACTAGATTCGAAATTCCAAGTTTCGATCACAACTTCTCCACTAGTTAGCTTTGTGGTCCTAGGGTTAGGAACTGTATAGAACTGCCCTGGGTCCCCTTCTCACTTGCAACATGGGGATGATAACAGTGTCCGCTTGGTGGGACTACTAAAGGGATTATGTGAATGGGAAGAATTTGGATTGGAGCCTAATACACTGTAGGTGCTGTGCCAATAGTATTGGCTATTACTATTTTTAGAGATAGGGTAACAAGGTCAAGTATGTTAACAGATGCCTCGTGGCTCCTTCCTTCACGAAGCCCACCACACTTCTCACGAGTCAAAGATATCCTGGTGGCTTCAGACATAAATTGGGGTACAAATTTAACAGCAAAAGAACGGCTCCGGGTTTCCTCAATCAAGATGGCTTCCAGCCTGGCTTCTAACACTGCGGACCCGAGGAGACACCAGTTTGGGGGGGCCGCCGTCCTGCTCCCGCCCGCAACGAAGCACAAGCTCACCACACAGACGTCGTGTTCTTCTCCAGTTGCTTCCTCCACGGTTTAGAGGAATAGATGGCCTCCCCATTGATGCTCAGCCACTTCCCAACAGCAAGAAGCCTTTCTTGGAAGATGGGAACTATCAGCCCGTCTTTAGTTGGTCCAATGTTGAGAAGGTAGTTGCCTCCCAAGCTCACTGTCTGAACCAGTTCCTGGAGAGAGCAGAACAGTGAAACCATAGCTATGAGTGCTAAGCCCAGCATGATGCTGAGAACACATAGGTATTTTTTTTATTTAAAAAAAAATTTTTTTTAAGGTTTATTTATTTTTGAGACAGAGAGAGACAGAGCATGAACGGGGGAGGGTCAGAGAGAGAGGGAGACACAGAATCTGAAACACATAGGTATTAAGAAAAAAGAATCTCCTTTGGTGAACAGCCTTTACCCTTTTGAAAATGCCATATATTTTTTGTCATTATGAAAGCAGGATGGGCTTATATGAGAAAACTGAAAAAATCCTGCTACAAAGTGGAGAAATAGATTAACTTGAATTCCAGGAAGTGATCATGGGTGCTTCCGTGTCAGCCTGCACTTCCCACGGTGTGGCACGCACTGGGAAGGTCATGTGTCAGAAGGGCAAAGTGTGAGCAGGGAAGGGGAGGACAAAACACTTCGCTGTGATGTGATCCCATGGAGCCACATAGAGAGAATACGGAGATAAGACAAGAGAGATTTTGAGGGGGTGCTAGGGGCACTTTGGGGACATGGAAGAGATCTGCAGAATTCGGGACGCTCTGTATGAAATGGGCTATGTAGCCTAGGTGGCTCAGTTGGTTAGTGTCCGCCTTTGGCTCAGGTCGTGATCTTACGGTTTGTGGGTTCGAGCCCCGCATCGGGCTCTGTGC